AGCTGTCTGTTCCTTATTCGTGTTCTAGCCACTGTGGTGAATAGCTGTTGCTAATGCTAGTTTGAAATGTTGGTGAGTTGTTGGTTTTCACAACTTGCGGGAATGTGTAAAGCTGTATTTACACAGTGTAAGTTGCTCTTAAAGTCGTTTCATACCACCAGCCTTTGTTTGGTGCTACATTGTTTTTTCTCATGGAAAAAGTGAAATTGTTGAATGGAATCTGGCCTGCAGCATGCAGCTCTGTTTGTGTGTGTGTTTATGTGTGTTGGTTCATGTTCCTCAGGGGAGCCTGTTAAACAGCGTCTGGTCCTTGGCCAAATACTGCCTGTTAGAAACCAACAAATCAGCTCTCTCTCTGTTTTATTCCTTTCTCATTCAACCAGATTTGGTTTTTTTTACCTTCTTTCCTTTAATTCTCATTATTAGCTTTCTATCCTACCCCGTGACTGTTTTACCCTTCTTCTCCTTTATGTTTACTTTACTCACTTATCAGATAGAGAAGGTCAGGCAGCCAGAACGTTGCTGTTCACACACACACACACACACACAGAGAGAGAGAGAGAGAGAGAGAGAGAGAGAGAGAGAGAGAGAGAGTTGGTATCTTAGGTAATATAATCAGACTACTTTTAGATTACTTTTAGATTACTTTTGACCTAACTCATTTATCACTTTGATTTAAATGGGATAATCTTGTACCATATTGATATAAAAATACAAAGAGTAGGAAAATATATTCCATTCATTGTTATTAACAAAATAAAGTGCATAAAACATTACATTATGTCTAGGTTTCCCAAACTGGGGTTTGTAAAGGAACTGCAGGGGGTTTGTGAGTTTAATGAAAAGCTAATGATTCATTCAAATATAAAAGTCAAATTAAAATAAATAATTATAAAATAACAACAATCAAAATAAAAGACTTACTAAAAAAATGAAATATTTTATTTGTTTACCTGCATGGCATGTGACCATTAACCAAAGTCAGAGATTTGTGAACATGCAGATTTGTTTGTTGAGAAATCTCAGGGGGGTACTTCGGGGGGTAAGTTCATGTAAACTTAGTCAGAATATTATTATAAGGAAAGCTACATTGAGATATATTTGTGTTCCTTGTGAACTTCTGACTCAAGTGCAAAAAGTTAAATCTTTGGTTATTTAATTAATAAAATGTATAATATTAATTATTTATATTATTATTTATATCAAACTATTTATTTTATGTATTTCTTTATTTTACAGTTGTAATCTTTAAAAAATAGGTCTCAAATGTTTCCCTTCTCAGTCATATTTTCACTCTTTCTGTTTGTGAACTCGTCTCACTCTCTCTGTTTGCCAGTCTTTCTGGGTTCAGTTTAGTCCAGCATGTAATTATCTTGACTCTAAACGTCTCCCCTCTGCTGTATTAATAGACGAGCATGTGTAATGATAGAACCACCTTGCTAAAACACAGCAAACAGATCTAACACATTCACATACTCTCTCTTTCTCACACATGCTTTTCACATACTACTCAGTGCCTTATCTGCACAATCACACGCACACACTTTCCCACGCATCTAAACACAGCTAGTTACATCTCTGGAGAGTTTCCCCCTGCTCCTGTACTCAGTTGTAACACCAGATCCAACAGAATATCTCTCATCAGATCACATATAAATGATTATGAACAGTAATTATTAAAATTGATGGGGTTTGGAATTGGTCAAATGTGTTTGCTAATAAGTTAATTGTTTATGCTTTAATGTTTTGGTAATTATGTAGCTATATTGTAGTTTGCTATTGTAATGTATATATTAATTTATTGAGTACTATGTTGTGTATTATATAATATGAACGCTCTTGCTTACAGCACTGATTTGAGTTTTCCAGTAAAAGGTTTGCAGCCTTCACCAAGGCGTCAGAGAACAGCTGTGTTTGTTCACACTCCTTCAGAGCATGTGAGAGAGGCACGGGTGATATGGCATCCTGTATGTTTGTGTGATCCCGCTAAATGATTGTATGCACCGTCCATAAGCACACAGCTGATGATGATGACACGGCCAGCATTACGGACCCCCTCCCACCCCAGCCTGTGACCTCAGGGTTACCTTCGTTCCCACAGATCCAATGTACATGTCCTCATCACTTGCCATGGGAACCCACAGGCTTTATCTCTAGCCCCTCCTGCTGCCTGTCAGTAGCGAAGAGTGTAAAGGCCTCTTGAGTAAATATTTTATCTTCAGGTCTGAAATCAGTTTGGTTTCTACTGGTTCTGCTTTGATCAAATTTCATATATATTTTATTTTTATATTAGCATTCATATCTATTTATAAACACACAAATACACACAATACTCTCAGATCCAACAAAAAAACCCTGAATAGCTAAAACATAACTCAGGTCTCAGCAGGCATGATATATATGAAACAGGGTTTTAGATGTTTTAGCATTTGAAACTTAGTGTGCACTTCACACCTTCTTTGAACCTTCTTTGAACCTTCTTTGAACTGTTTGTGTTGACATACTGGTTTAATTAAAGAAATTAATGAAGATCTTTGTATGATTTTTTTTTAAAGCTTGATCTTTTGAAGGCTTGGGTGTGATTCAAAAACAACACTGTGAGTTTTTGCTTCTGATGCTTGTTTGTGATTGGGGGAAAAAAAAACGTTTACGAGGAGTCATAACAGAGGCGCCGGTTGTTTACGAAAGCAAAATTGCTTTTGTCAGATGTAAAATATAAAAGTGACACAGAAAAGTTCAAAGGTCCAAACTTAAAACTTTTAAGTTAGTGAGCGGGAGAAATTAAAATGTTTCTCAAGACCAGATTTTTTTCTCTCTCTCACTGGTTTCTTGGGAAATATTTTCCAAGACTCATTTCTTTTTGAAAGTTGATGATATTATCCAACAAGGGTTCATTCCAATTTGAGACAAGGTTAAAGGAGGAAATAAACTTACATAAATATAAATAGTAGAAAGTCATTGCAGTGTGTGTGTGTTTTTTTTTTGTTTGTTTTTGGCATGTAAGATTCAAATGTATGATAGAATTGGTGTCAGATTTTATTAGTAATTAAAAATACTTGATCTTGGCAAACAGCTTTGGGGTTTTTGCTCTTTTCCATTCAAGTAGCCTACTGTATACAACTTGCACCAATGTCATGTATGAAAAATAACCTTTCAGTTAAACCTATTAAAAGCTTCAAGTAATCAGTGCTCTATTGTGGTCCATTCATTTAATTAATTACCAATATGTAACTACAGTATTTGAATTGTGAACAAATATTGTGAAATAATTCATAACAGTCACCAGCAGGGTGCAGCATTTATACATGAATACCTAAAGACATGACGTTTTGTCAAAGTAAACCTCTTTAACCATCGGAGGTTTTAAAATACCAACATTTTTCATACATGTCATGTCAGCTTGGTGTGTAGGACAAGTTCCTATGTAAATCATTAGTAAACCACGCTGAAAATCGTTATGCTGGTGTGTCATAAATGAGGCCCATTGCATGTTGTGTTAATGTTTATAATTTGTGACCACTTGATGGAGCTATATGTCTTCAGAAAAGGATCAGCGCATCGTTGAGGTAGCCTGTGAAGTCTAGTCTTCAGGGTGCTGCAAGCATGAGTAGCCCACTAAAACCAGAAATTAGGTGGTTTTGCCATTCTATTTTAGGCTTCAATATTCATAAAGATTGTGTTAATTTGTAGATTTTATTATGATAAAATGTGAAAGAATCAAACCTTTGTTGGTCACAGAGCTTATTTTTGTAAGGTGATGAACTTCTCAGTTGGCCTACCGCCCACTCAAACAGGAAGTTTTCTGCCCAGAACTATTAGTTACTTATTAGATGAAACATATAATATTACAATGCTCAGAAATGTGGAACCATGTGAGAGTTCATTTTACCAGCTGTGTACCTTAATTGTAAATGTAACCTAATTCATAATTTTTTTACTTGGTGTATCCTAATTTACATAATATACATTATGAGAGGCTACAATTGAGAGTGCATTTCCTTATAGAAATCTAGAGTTTTAGCCAAAGCAACTTGAACAAATGTAGAACATCATAAGCAGTTTGTCAAATCTCAGTGGCTTTTGTGCACCCTCGCTTTCTTTATTAGCTATTTGTCATCCCATATAGTTACCTTTTACTACCAGTACTTCCTTGGGTAAGTACACCTACTGTAATAAAAAGTACAACCCAAAATGTGCTTAAACGACGCTGCCATATCTCCAGGGAACCTGGTGTATTTGGTTTGTTTATAGTGGTTTGTTTATTCTGATGTCTGGTGCTTTGTTCATTGCCAGTTTCACTCTGTGCTGTAGCTTTTGTTGTCTTCCTAAAGTCTTTAAAAATTGCAATAAATGCAAGGCCGAGATCACGTTTAAGAATATGAACCCTAAAGAATATGAAAATGCATTTATACGTTTAAATAATTTTTACTTGTTCAGTTTCATTCAGTAAACACTCTTTTTAGACTGGTGGTGAGGCACTTCTGAGTTAAAGTAAGTTTTCACTGAACATTGAACTTTGATCTAGGAAAACTTTTTTTCCCCAGCAATACTTAGAGTTCATCAGTTAAAATAACCCATGAAACAATAAATATGAAAAAAAAAAATATATATATTTTAATGCATATAAACCAAACCTTTGTATATTGTAAATGAATAAATTGTATAAAATTACTAAGTATACATGACACCAGTTGACAACCTGCCCCAAAACTCATTTATAAAAATAACCTTTTGGTTAAAATTGTTATTATATGGAATTTACGTTTGTGTATTTACAGTATATACTTTCATGTTAATTCCATATAACTATACATTTAAACTTAAAAGTTGTAAAATAGCATATGAAAGGTTGCACATATATGTTATTGTAATATTGCGCAACCTTCCGCTTGTTTCAGACAGAAGTATTTTTGTGTTCCACTGCGCTATTTTTGTTTTTTTATGTAAGCAAACGATGATGACTTCTTTGACATTTGCATCTCGAGCGTTAGTGCTGCATTTTTAAAGCCTCGTTTCCTGTTAAAAGAAGTTTAACTTTAAAAGCGTGTTTCGAGACTCCTCAAACGATCCCTTCACCCCGTCAAAATAGTGTCAACAGGTCCACATGCATATATCATAGTCCCAGTTCCAGCTGTCAAACTTTTAAAATTGTTCATTTACTGAAGTCTTAAGACTTAAACCATGTTTCCTGTCTTTTAAAACAGAAATATGTTTCTCCTTTTTGTTTGTTTGTGCTTTTATGTGGGCCTCTTTACATCCTTCCAAATGTCTATTAGCTGCTGTGGGGATCCCAGGATTGTTGTAATAACTCTGAGAAAATCCTCTCGCTTATATTGTCCCAGATAGGCTCTAAATTGTGAAGGGTTTGGGGGAGATGAGGGTGCAATGCCTAACTGTTTTAGACAAGCGCCCACATATGCATCCTCAATATTAAAGGCGTTTACTTTCTTGGAAGCCTCAACTATCTTTTCTGGCAGATCATTGGAGAAAACATATCCCATTCCAAGCAGGTACGTGGGGTATTTCGGTTCAGGGTACAGTTCCTCTGCCACGTACCATTTTGAGTTTTTGTCTCTGACGACAGGCCGGTCCCACATCAAATAGCCTGTAATGTAGTTCTGTCTGGGTGTGTTGGGTGCCAATAGCAGGCTCATCAGGTTCTCCAGGCCTATGTACATGTCAGAATCAACCTTCATAGCATAAGATGCTTGAGGGCAACGAGTGGCCAACCAGTTCATGATCACCATTGTCTTTATGGTCAGGTTGAAGTAGGAGTCCACAAAGTTGCTCTGCACTAAATCTCTGTGTTGTCGGCTCTCTTCCTCCAGCTGCTGTTGAGCTTCAGGTCCTCCAGTCAAACCCACCAAGAACAGAGTCAGCACTGCTTTTCCCTGGACTGAGCTTTCATTCCCCCATGTGCTCCGGATGGCATTACGAGCATCTACCTGTTGAGGGGCCACAGGGACCATCAAGACCAGGAACGGATCCCACTGACTACATTTATCAGGTTCGTCCAGGATGAAATGATAGTTGAGTGGGTGAGCCACATGATAATAGATAGGAATGTCTGTGGTTTGTGCAACAGTTGTACCTCTTGGTTGGATTTGTTGATTGGGCAAAAGTGAAAATAATAATTCCTTTTGAATATGATCGGCCAAAGTGCTGTTAATTACCTTATAATGAGTCCAATTCATGACTTTAATCAACCAGGTTTGAGTGAACGCAGTTGTCTCGAAAGAGAAATCAGAGACATAAACAACGGCAGACAATAAAAATGCTGATGTGAGCAACAGAATAAATGTCTTTTTAATGTGATGCATACACGGACCTTTAGCCAAACTGCAGAGGAAAAAAGAGAAACAGATCAAAAAAATGTTTCTCTCAGTGAAACCACAGTTGTAATTTTTTTTTTTATTATTAAAATAATATAATATAAAATATCCCATATTTTTAACTAGTCAGATACTGATTTTCTCATGAAAATACGTATAAATAGTACGCCAAATAAAAACGAAAACTCGTGGTATTGATATGCAAAGATGGACTTTGGCGTGCATATGATACGCATGTGTTTGACGTGCATATAATACGCAGTTTTCGCGTGCATATGATACGAAATTTGTTGGCGTGCATATGATACGCAGTTTTCGCATACATATGATACGCATCTACCCCACACCCCTAACCCTACCCATCGCGTTGCATATACACGCCAAAGTCCATTTTTGCGTATCAATACCACGAGTTTTCGTTTTTATTTGGCATACTATTTATACGCAATTTAATGAGATCGGGTTGGATTTTCATGAACTTTTAAGTAGGCTTACACCTGCTTCATTTTCACACGAACATCAATCAAAGAGAGCTTGTAGTTCAGTTCAGTAAGTCAGATGTAGCCTAAGCGCTTTGAGTGATTCAGTGAGTTTATTCAGTGAAAGATTCGTCGGTGTGATGCAAATCGGTATGGATTTCCGAATCACGGGCTGGAGGACGGAGTGAGAAAACGCAGAAGCATTATGAGCGAAGCATCACGTCAGTCTGTTTGAACGATTCATAAGAGAAACCGGATGATAAGAGTAATTTGTTCATTTTAGGCGAGAAATTCTCATATGGATTACTGTTTTGTCGCCATTCTGAAGTAGGCATCACGTTATTATTCGACGTTAGGGAAGAGTAGTCTTCATATTCGAAAGCGACGCGTTTGGCGTCGTATAGATGGATCAAAAATTATATTACGTTCATGATTTTGAATTGCATAGCCTACATATGCATGAAAACGCTCAAGAGGCAAGTTATTCATCAAATGCAGTGCATATTTTGACAGTACGGCATTTCGAACGCTGAAAGTGCAGTTTTTATGTAGCCTAATGTGTTCCAGAGGATCAGTGTTTAACAAGGTAACATGAATCAAGATCTTATCTATGCTTGCAGGTGATTTGCATTCGTGTTTAATTTCCTGGTAAAGTTACCAACCAACTTGACATATATTTAAGATACAATTACAATGCAATTCTTACCATGATAAAACATGCAATTTACATACAACATACACTGTTCTATGTATATGTTTTTAAAAAAATTTAAATTCATTATTTTAATTTTTTTAATGTAAAATTAAATTAAATTTGACTACCAGGAATGCAGTTTTAGTTATGAAGTCTCAACTCACAATGTTACTTTGTTCCCTGCTTTAGTAATAACTTTCCTCTTCCTCTATATCACCTTTCATTTATCTTCCAGTTTCCGTTTTTATCACAGACTGAAAGACACTGAACGAAAACACTGATTATATATATATATATATATATATATATATATACACACTCTTAAAAATAAAGGTGCTTCAAAAGGTTCTTCACAGCGATGCCATAGAAGAACTACTTCTTTAGCCACAAAGAACATTTTGTGAAACAGAAAGGTTCTTCAGATGTTAGCGGTTCTTTATGGAACCATTTAGACAAAAAGGTTCTTCTATGGAATCGTGAAG